CGTCCCATTTCGGACCGGTGGTTAAGTATGCTTCGACGCCGGGAGAGTCCGTCGCGTTGCTCCTTCCCGAGACAGCCCCTGGGATACTCCGCGGGATTCCCTGGCGGTGGCACGGGATACACTCCGCGGGATTCTCCCCTGGGATACTTTAGGTTTAGGGTTTAGGGTTTAGGGTTTAGGGTTTAGGGTTTAGGGTTTAGGGTTTAGGGTTTAGGGTTTAGGGTTTAGGGTTTAGGGTTTAGGGTTTGCGGGATGTTCCTAACGAAGGCGGGCACTCGGCGGGATTCGCTGGGGCCTAAACCCTAAACCCGAAACCCTGAACTAGGCCCGAAGGCCCGAGCAGGATGGGCTATGAGGCTAGAATCCCCCACAGTTCCTTATTTAAGGCCCTGAGGGGCTAGATAAGGGTATAGTAGCCTATCCTAAACCCTAAACCCTAAACCCTAAGCCCTAGGCGTCTCGGCTTCAGGTGTTGGGTAGTTTCCCTTGTGGTCCCCTTCCCTGGCCGTAGACCCCTGTGCGGTACACCCGTACCCACACTGCCAGCTCTTGGTCCGCACGTGCGCAAGAGCCTGGTACCCTACTCCACCCTTTGCGTGTTGAGTGCCTGCCTCGGCTGCATTTACTGCCCTTGGCTTGGCAAACCCTTTTCTGGATATCCTTGGCTGTAACTGGTGTTACCCCTGGAAATTCCACATCCTGCTCTTCCCGGCCTTGGCTGCAATTTTTTGCCCCTGGCCTGACAATCTGCTCTTTCTGGACTTCCTTGGCTGCAACTGGTGTTGCCCCTGGAACTTCCACATCCTGCTCTACACTGCCTTGGCTGCAATTTTTATTGCCCCTGGCCTGTATTTTGCGCTTGTTATTGGGAGTTGCGCCCCACTGAATCGCAGTTTCATGCACTGCCGGCACGTTCTCTGCACTGTTTTTCTCCTCGCGATCCTCGACCGCTGCACCGAGATCTGCAATCATACCTGCTTTTCGTCGGAGCCAAGAATCGGCAGCTCACAGAAGAGCCCGCCGACAGAGAACAGCAGCCAGAACTTTACTGCGTACATTCCTCACAAGACCGGGCCCCATCGAGACGGTCCCCGTCTGGAGAGCTATCAAAAGACTGGAATCACACCATTCCAGAAGCACACTGCCAAGCAAAGCCAGGAGGCTACTAGGCAGGCAACCACACGGAGAAGCAATGGCATCGTGGTGGTGCGAAAGCTGCCGAAAGTACTGCAAAGCTTCGGCACAGTTCTGCTCATCTTGTGGAACCAGGTGGGATCAGAACACCGCCTCGACATACACCGCCAAGCACCCGGAGGCACCCTGGAACAACACCAGACGTGGAACGCAATCTCCACGGCGCAGACAGTCACCGAGGAGGCTGAACTCTGCCAAGCAGGCTGCACTACCGGACAAAGCAGAGTATCCGAAAGGAAAAGGCAAGGGCAAGGCCAAAGACAAGCCGTCCCAACCCAAGGCGGTGACGACGGACCGGCTGGCATCATTGCCACCCCCTCCTCAGCCACCGGCGTTGACGACGCCACCGCCGACTACAACCACAGAGTCGGCGGCTGGAAGTGCAGTGCCTCCTCCCTTCACGGACCTGATGTCGATGCTGATGAAGACGAGAGACGACCTGCCACCAGACGTGCAAGCGGCGCTGGATGCGCATGCGGATTTCCAGCACAAGGCCTCGGCAAAGAACCTTCACAAAGTGGTCGCTCAACAAGCTGCAGCCAAACGTGGACTTGCCGACGTTCGCCGCAGCAGGACAGCCTTCATGTCAGAGTGGATCCAATATCTGGGGGCCCTAGCGGACCTCCTGCAAAGCCAAGTCAGCGAGAAAAACAAGACGTTGGCAGAGCTCAAGGAGACGGAGGACAAATGGACCACACAGCTGACGACAGCCACCAAGTCTCTGGCGATGGCCTCCAAGACAGAAGGCGCAGTCATCGACTTGGACGACGAGGCGATGGAAGCGGAGGTCGCAGAGGTGGCGGAGGACGAAGCCAAACAGAAAGAGGCCGCGGCTCGAACAGAGGCTCAAGAGGCAAGGCTTGCCGAACAGCTTCACCACGCCAAAAGGGCTGCACAGGAGGAGCTGGACACCGTCCAGGACCGAGAACGTACTCCGCGCCGCCTGAGAACAGAGGAGCCGGCAGCTGGCAAGAGCGCGGCCAAGCCGAACGCACCAGCCACTGGCGCTGCTACGGCGGGGGATTTGCCCCCTCCACAGGCCCATCATTGAGCCGGACGGGACATGATGGGCGAGAAGCCCCGAGGACGCGTGAAGCCCACAGCATCCTTGGCGAGGCAGACTTTGTCAGCCGACACATGGCGCCTGTCTTAGGCATCTGTTTGGCTGCAGAGATCAGATGTGATGGCATTCCCAACCTGCTGCGAAACCCTTTTGCGATGTGCGACCCACGTCTCGCGCATTACCAACACACTGCAGACAGGACACTGGATGCTTCAGAAGAGCTTGATGAGTGGCTACCATCGCTAGAAATAGTGCAAAACCGCCATCAATGCCAAGATACCTCTCGTTGGACCAACGCTCCATGGGAGGTTGTATATAGCACATGGTCTTCTTCTTTCAGAAAGCAAGGACCTCGACTGAAGTCGGCTGTTTCCTTTGCTTTACAGGGCGCAACTCTTTCCGTTGTACAGTCCTTCCGGAGAGCGACCTGCGATTTGGCCAAGCTGCATAGAGCCTTCTTGCATGCCCTCAACACGCACAACGGTTGTCAGCATGCCTCGCAGAGTTCTGCGTCACATGCAGACCCTTGGGGCGAAGCACCACACAATGTGCAACACCGTGATGCATGTGTGCACAGGTCACCGGTACATCTGCCACATGCTTCGCGCCTAGCGCTCATCAATCATCCCGTTGAGGATGATAGCACAGGCCAGAGGTCAGGCACCTATCCCGACTGGCTCCCAGCCAGCTCGGATTCTTCCAGAAAGGGCACCCCTCAGGAACACGAAGGCTGCCCAGCAGTTGCCATCTCCTTGCCCGTGCCTTCCAGCGACATTGAATCCTTCATTAGAGGGCTTGGCGAGCAGACCGAATATGTCTTCTTTGACACGGTTGATCATTGCCGGAGACGTCAATTGCTAGAAGGTTGGGGTATTAGGGAGATTTTTGCTGATGCTATTGGGCACTCTGTTGCACAACCCATCACGGCAGCCTCCCTGCTACAACCTGCATTGCCTGACCTCCCGCCAATACAGATCGTTCTAGACTCTGCCAACTTGCCCCCTCAATGGAAGACCGTGCCCATAGACCTGCGAAGGACGGGGTTTCGCATTTGCACCATAGGGGCTCCGCAAGATTCGTCGGCATTTGAGATTGCGTTTCGGGCATCCCAAAAATGCAGGGCACCGCCGAGGCTCTCCAATTATGTCGCGAGGTCATATTGGGAGTTTGCACCACCTGGCACAGTTGTCTTTGACCCCTTTCAACCTGAGGTGTTAAGACGAGGCCCAGTGATTCTCTGCTCGCCCAGACCAGGGTCCCCTTCCCAATCAGCATCGACATCCTGCTCTAGCAGCTCGACCGCTGCTTTCTCAGAGACGTCCTCAGCCTCCGACCCGCATTTTGCAGAAACGAGTGTGCATCTTCCACCCCATGGTGATGACTTTACAGTTGCCTTTCATGCTGTTGGTCACCAGCCATGGACACACTCCTTTTCACGACTTGCAACGCCAGAGCAGCTGGCACGAACCGCAGCCGTGCACATGCAGTCGGTCACCGGGGAACCTGGTTGGCGAACTCAGTTCCTATGGCGACAACCTGTCGTCAGAGACATAGACCTACACTGCCTGCTCACCCCAATAAGAAGCACGGCGACCGTAGGGGGGGTCTTTCTTGCCGATTTTAGGCGGATCTTTGGTCCACAACTGCGCAATCTCGCTGCCCTGCCGGTTACCCCTAATACCCCGCACACAGCCGATAACATGTGCACTGCCGCATCCGGGCTGTTAGAGGAGTGGGCCATCCACCAACCAGACTTTGACTTTGTTGTCACCACTGCAAGAAGGGGAGCCCTCCTTGTGCCCGCCTGCGAAGAGCTTTGTGCAGTCACAGAAACTGTGACTGTCGTGCATCAATTGCCGGGCCTCAGACAGCACATGTTTTCACTCAACCCAATTGCACAGACGCAAAGGGGCATTCTCACAAGAGCCACAGAGGAACACGGCACTGTGAGCACCACTAGCTCTACGACGCCCAGTTTACAGGAAGAGTTGCCACATCATGTGCTCCCGTTGCCGCCGCGCAATCCCCTCTTAGTGCGATTAGGTATTGCGGGTTTTGGGGTCTTCACTGTCGAATTTCAGGGGTGCCCGCCTGCCGCAGACATCCTGGCCCGTACATGGGCAGCCGCCATGCAAGAAGGCCCATTGCCGAGTGGCCTTCACATTCAGCTTGCACTGTGTCAGCCACAACCCTGGGT